GTGATTCCTACGGTGCTGCGAAGTCTACGATATATAAGAAATAAATGCGTTAGGTCTATTTGAATACCGCGGCAAGAACTTTTACCAAACGCACGACAGGCATCCTTGTATTACAACGCCGTCAACCCAGATCTATCCGACCGCGGAAAAATGAGGGTGCGGTCTAGTAAAAGCGCGAACTTGACAAAGCCGATTTTGCTCTATTCCACTCAGCATGAGCCTACCCTTTGTGCTGAACCAGAAGTCCGGAATAAAATCCATAGATGAGTTAAAAAGCGGTTGAATGCGCACGCATGAGCCTAATAAATTTTCCAAAGAGAAATCAATAGTGAAATGTTCCCGAGAGGCCACAACCAAAACTTGAAGACAGAAATTCTCCTCTCCTGCTTCCTTATGGAAAAAAGTGCACCACAACAACACCTTCGATTATAGGAAAATCTCGCCGAATTGGCGTCACGTAGGTGCCGCGCTGTGATTACGAATATGACTTCCCCTCATGCGCTGGCATAATGATTTTCTCGCAAGCTTCGCTGTGGACATAGGTAGGTAGATGCTCATTGTGCTGATCATAAACATATCACGCATTCTTAAGTTAGTAACCATACCAATGTTTTAGGCCCGAGAAGGGTCGCCACGCAAACGCATGGTCTTGCACCTACTTGTCCTGCGCTCGAAACGAATGTTATATTGGTGCTGAGGGCCTCAAACAGCCCCCTCTCCTATTGATTAACCCTATCTTCTAGAGTATAGGGGATTTTACACATACCGTGCGCGACAACGCGCGCGAAAAGTTGGTAGACAAAGCAACAGTTTCCCTGACTTTTCATTATTTACTCTACCAAATTGATTTCAAACACCTCTTATTGAATGCAGATCATCAATATGGATAAAGAAAAAACAAAAGCTAGCAAAAATCAGTGAGCCCAATACGGCAAGAATGGAAAAACGCAGAGAAACATGCTCTGAACAGCTCCATCCCTCAGCAACATCATAAGATTTGCCATTGTGAAGCATTGCAAAGCACTACAACTTACAATTTGCCACCATGTTGCCTTGCCAAGATGTGATGAACTTATGGTTTACCAAAGTGATACATGGCGAGCAGGCTTTCATCGACAACCGCTTGAGATCTACACTAGGAAAGAGTGATGCATGGTACTTGAACGCGGTCCCCGTCAAACAAAAGAGTACTGCCAAGCAATATGATGTGGTGATGTTGCGGAGGGATGGAGCAAACAAGCAAGATTTCATAATCTAATACATTAAAGAACAGGGTCAGCAGAAGAGAAGCAACGATTGGGTTTGTGTGCGAGCGAAGAACAACAACATAATGGACAGTTAATGGTCAGCACTTAGCAAAAGGATGTCGCCAGCGCTTTATTTTACACAACAAGTGATAGTAAATAACCATGTAAACTTCAGAAAGCGAAGCCAAGGAAAAACAACTCACCAACAGCGCTTTCGCCCAACAGTACAAGCTTGAACTGGCAGGTCTTATTTGCACCACCAGCGCGAGGAGCAGGAGCGGACCGGTTTGCCATACCACTGGAAAGCATTTCCGATTTCATTAGTGTTCAAAACCGTGGACAACATGTTCACAAACTGACAAGAGGCTTTAAAGACGAGTTCTAGACATAAAAAATAGGAGGCATTGGGACCAAACGGACCAAGACACGAACTACAGAATATGAATTTTGGAAAACATCGAAAAAACTGCTCCTTCAATCACAGGGCAAAGCTCAAAGACCCGTGTCCAGCGATGACACAGAAATCGAGCTCAATTTCACTGCGTATGCGCGACAGTCGTCGACTT